GAGTTCGATCCAACCTCCACCAATATCAATTGTTATTTGGAGCGATTGGAGCAGTATTTTATCGCGAACGGCGTTGGAGCGGATACAGGCGAACGATTCAAACGCAGAGCAACCCTGATCTCTGTCATCGGTTCCAAAGCTTACGACGTCCTTTCGGACCTGTGCTCATCAGAAGCTCCTTCGAAGAAAACTTACGGTGATTTCGCAACCATTCTCAAGGACCACTTTGCTCCGAAGAAACTTCTTATCGCAGGACGATACCGATTTCACAACTGCATTCAACTCGAAGAAGAAGGCGTTTCCACTTTCGCCGCTAAGCTCAAACACCTCGCTTCTACCTGACACTTCGGCACACATCTAAATGAAGCTCTACGTGATCGCTTGGTCTGTGGACTTCGAAACAAGGAAATACAGAAAAAGTTGTTAACCAAGGAACACAACTTTGACGAAGCTCTCAAAAAAGTGCTCGGCGCTGAGGCTGCCGAGACGGATGTCGCCGCATTCTCTCGAGAAGACGCCACTCCGATTAACAAGCTCGATTCTGTTTGCCGTCTGACATATCGTCCGCGCAGAACACGCAGGCCTCCATGTGAGGGCCGAGGCAAAAAGCCACTTGACAAGAATCAAAACAACAGCACTTCTGAATGTCTTAGTTGCCGCAAAACAGGCCACGCACGTTCCCAGTGCAAATATAGGAACTATACCAGCCCTTCCTGTGGGAGATCGGGTCATATCACAGATGCATGCAAGTCTAAATCTCAGGAGATCCACACGGTTGAAGAGCCAGAAGCGTCACAACTTGACCCCCCCTTCAAATCCATTTTCTCTCTCTATCTTCAGCATCAATGCACAGAACAATGGCATAGAAGTCCCCGTCGAATTGAACGGAACCCAAATCTTAATGGAATTGGACACCGGCGCTGGAGTTTCAACTATCTCCCAGGAGACTTACAACAGGCATTTCAAGGAGACCCCACTCCAACCGTCTGATACACGCCTGCACACCTAAACAGGGGACCAAGTCCAAGTCTCTGGCCAGTTCCTAGTACAACTCAAGTATCAAAATCAGCGTGTCACTGTGCCACTCCTTGTAGTTAAAGGCTCTGGACTATCACTCTTTCGAAGAAATTGGCTCTTTCCTGTCAACCTGGATTGGAAGAAAATATGTAGCATCCATGTCTCAGACCCTGGCCTCACACCAGAGGTCAAGTCACAATTGCACAACACAGTCCAGTGTCACTCTAATGTCTTCAAGCCTGGCCTTGGTACTATTCAGGGAATCACAGCTAAATTGGAGATGAAGCCGGATGCCCAGCCAAAGTTCAGCAAGGCCCGCCCAGTACCTTACGCTCTCCAGGAAGCAGTAGATGCAGAGTACCACCGACTCGAATCCGAAGGTATTGTGGAAAAGGTCGAATTCAGTGAATGGGCAACACCCATGGTTCATGTTCCCAAGGCGGCTGGCACCACACGGTCATGTGGAGACTATGCTGTTACGGTCAACCCCAACTCAATGTCCCTCAGTATCCAATTCCCCTGCCTGAGGTTGTATTTGTCAAGTTGCGAGGCGGAATACGATTCACCAAGCTTGATTTAAAGAATGCTTATCAGCAACTCCCATTGGATCTTGACAGTCAGCAATTTGTAACCATCAACACACATCGTGGTCTATATCGGTACAAAAGGCTACCGTTTGGTATTACCTCATCCCCAGAAATTTTTCAGCGGACTATGGACATCATTCTTCAAGGTCTGGAGCATGTCGCAGCCATTCAAGATGACATGTACCTCGATAGAAAGGTATCGAAACATCCAAACAGCATGAAGGAAAATATCATCAGGATCCGATGGGAACTCCAAGCGAAAACAAGACGATCTAAGATCGTAAGTCGGGCTACAGGCTTTAAGTTGGACTCCTGTATAAATCTGCCCATTTTAGACGCCTGTTTATGCCCATTTTACGATAGAATTTATTTCCTTGGTCAGCTATGCAACATAGGGTTCTGGAATTCCAATAACTACAAGACTTTGCTACTGAGTAACACATGCATAAAGCCCTACTGAAGAGCATTGTTGACAAGAGCAGTTGTGTTCTTCTCTCAATCTGTTCACTGCAGTTTTTTCATATGTACTAGTCTGCACTCCTCTGAGTTCATAATTGTCACTGAGGGAGTGTATAGTCTAGAAATACTGTACTAAGCCCTGAATACATGGTACTTCTAATAGTACACATGTACCTGAGGGATGGCTTCTAACATATTTGTCTCTTGCATGATAGTCAAATGTCTTATAACTCCCATTATCAGTATGACAGATACTGACACCAACACACTCTATTGTCAGAATAAATGAAGAGTAATTATGTGACAAGAGTGATTCAAAAGCCTTGTCGATAGACATACTGTACAGATATCCCTCAATTATTGAATCACAATGATCTAGATTACCAGTGTAGCTTTCACTATAATTAAGCTGGTAATTTTTCTCAGACAAAGCAATCATCGACGGTGATTCTGTTTGCATTAAATACATCTACCCTGTACATTGTGACAATGTTGAATACAATTGATTACCCTCTCCAAACTTTGTACCAGGTCACTACAGGTATGTATTTCTCTTATCTTCTTATAAATCAAAGCAATCAAACTGATAGCAACACATTGTTTTTCAGCATTTTCACCAAAGTACATAGTAACATCACCTTGACTATATGGTGCCTTGATTGTTAGAGTAGGATCACGAGCGAATCGTCTTCGCACATGGTACTCGATCACCATCGTTAATATTACAACGATTAACAAACATCGCATAACGAGACCTGAATTCTTTTGCATAATAATGTTATTTCTTTTGCAACATCATTCTAATTTTGTACACACAACGCTGATTCGTCACACTTTTGCTGAAAACATGGCGCTACTTTGTCCAATACATCATCTTATCCGACACCACGTTGTTTGGTACCAAACAGACATTCCTGCGCAACAATATGCGAAATAATATACGCACAAAAGCGACAAAACTAATGGAACAAACAAAAACATAACAGCTGATAATGTACTCTGTTTAAGCAAAAACAACAAATGTAAGCTTATCACGATAAAGGTCACATAAATATGACAATTGCGTTTATCTTCACTCTGATAAAAGTCCAGCATGGCATCTTTGTTTTCATTTCCTAGAGTGTGATCACGAGTCACCTTGGTTTTATCAGCAAGTGTTCTTCTGTCACCCTGTCCACATTTAACTCATTTGATTTCTGGTTTGATTCGAGCTGGACCTTCGCTAAATCATCTGATTCTTTTGCTATTTTGAGTTCGCGGAACGACCCGTTTCGAAATATACGCTCATTACACACGCTACCTTTTTAAGTGGGTCTACCGCGAACGGTGTGTTGGTCTGTGAGTTCGAGCGTAGAAAAGATGATACCGTTTGTTAACATAGTCGACCTATTCGCTATCTTCGACATCGTGGAAAGAAGGTCGCGCGGTTATTACGTGTCTGCGGTATTCCCCATTGCACGCGACTGAGCTTTTTAGAGAAACCCGAGGGTAAACCTATAGTCGGTCGCCCGACTAACAAGCAAACTGCTTGAAGCGCGGGAAAACGAGAGCGACCACATCGCGATCGATTTTACTTGAGTTTTAAGTCTGATTTGTCGATCAGGGGAGAGGAAGCTATCATCAAGAGATGATACAACGAAGAAACTATCATCGGGAGCTATGAGAACTCAGTTTTAAAGCCAGAAAACTGTGCTTGGGTGCAGCAAACACGAGTAGTCAATAAAAGTCGTAGTTGGTTTTGTAAGTTTTGCATCCGATTGGTTTAAAAAATAGGTGATTATTCTAGATCAGTCATAGAGCGAAATAAAGCTACACCAAACTATTTCCGGATTACGTTCGATACAGTTAAAAGTTGCACTAAGTAAAGCTTCAACCAGAGAATCGTGGGTGAAAGTTTCTAAAGAAACTGTGCTGCTGCGTGGGTGGGGGTAACAAAGTAATTTGGTCATATCGCTCTGATGAAGGGCTAACGCTCGAAACGTCAGCTTTTTAACTCGTTACGGTGGCGAATTTACAATTTCAACTTAGTTGATGTAACCTATTAGCCAGAGAATCGTGCTTGATGTAACGTCATATTCCTTCGACTAGCAAAAGAGAAATTTCATGGTCATTGGTTTGGAGAAAGAGCTTTCAGATCTTACTGGCGAAAAGGCCTTGAGGGAACTTTACACCTGCTACCTTAAAAGCAAATATTCTGCTAATGGACGCTGTATTTTCAGTCGCTATGTCAGAAGACCTTGAGCTGAACTGTCAAAGGCGGATTTTACCGGCCACTAATAATTGATATTATTTGTTTTAGCTAGATTGAATTTTTGAAATTGAACAAGGGAGTTTCTGAAATAAGCTGTTCTATTTTTAATTCACCTGTCAGCTACTTCATTTGAATTTATAAGACACGCTCGCATTTCACGTTAACTATGGCATGCTCAGCCGAGTTCTGATGAAGTTTATTGAACGAATAAGGCTTATAACTGTCTTCCCAATCGTGGAAACACAAATAAAGACAAAACTAATGGAAGCTCGACTGGTAATACCTTTCCCAATCCAAAACAAACGTCATTTCCGAAATGACTTCTATCTTCTATTGTCTTGTTTGTCAGTTATATTGTATGTTAACATATCATACTCTGTGAGTGGTCTTAGAAAGCGTTTGTTTCTGGTTTTCAATTTATTTTAACCCTAAGCCTCAACACAGCCGTTCAAATAATTTCAGGTAATTATTTAAACCCTTTTTATGCTTTCACAATGATATATAGACATAGCATTTCACCTCTTAAAGTATTAAATTGCAACTTTGAAAAATGTGATGATGAAATATTAATTACTTCATTTACACTTTACCGACCCTGTTACATCTCCCGTGTCGCAACACAGAGAAGACATACCTTATTGGTCTCGGCACTTAAAAGCTACTCGATAAAGAAGCGGTAATTTGCATGTTCCCCCGTGTATTCAGCTGACTAGGAACACCACGTGTAGAGGTAGTATATTTAATTGTATTTTTCTCTCGCATTTATCATGTGGAAGCCATCCTTGCGGATCTAAGCAAACCTATGGCGATCTTGCTGCAATCTGATGAATGAGGGACAAAAGCTATTTATTAGAATCGGAATCTCATTTACTGTTAGAAGCACTGAAACAGCTACGTTCGATCAAGCATGCCTGGAAGTAATAACACGAGCAGAAATTTTACCGAAGCAACGATTTCAACTCACGATGTGGTTTTCGCCTCCTTGTACTCCTTCATAGTTCTCTTTGGAGTGATAGGAAACTCAATCGTGATCACAATAATTCTCAAAACCCAATCAAATCACACAACAACTAACTATCTGCTAATGAACTTGGCTTTGGCAGACTTACTAACGTTGTTGTTTTGCCCTGGACTGTACGACTTTGCGCTTCAGAACGTTTATCTAAATGGATTCTCGGGAGATCTGATCTGCAAGCTGTTTGCAGGAAATGCAATAGTTCCAATTACCATCAACGTGGCCGTTCTTACGGTTTGCACGATTGCTGTGGAAAGGTATCTGGCGCTTCTCAAACCTTTTCACTCTAATTTGAGAATCAAGGAGGATCGGGTTAAATATTTCATAGCTGGGCTGTGGTTGTTAGGCTTGTTGTCGTGCATCCCAGATATTCAAGCCAATACGTACAACGTCACTTCGACTTATTCAAAATATCCCTGCAAACGTCCATGGAGTTTAGATGAATACTTCCTTCACAAGCCCTTTATCATCTTCACGTGTGCTGGTTTTGGTGTGGTGAGTTTTGTTATCCTTCTATTCTGCTATTTTGAAATCATCCGTGGCTTATATTTCACAAAAACAATTTTTTCCGAGTCGTCTGTCACGGGAAGCCGTGAAAAACAAGAAAAAAAACGACTGGCTAAACTTCTCATTTGGCTCACCATTATATTCGCCCTCTGCTCGCTGCCATTTGCTGTATTTTTCATATTTTTGATATCTTCTAAGCAAGCATTCGTCCAGGATAATTACAATACTCTTCATCTACTTCACAGACTATGTCGTTTTTGCCTTTTTTCGAACTCCTTTTTCAATCCATTCCTTTACGCCTTGCAAAGTTCCAATTTTAGGGACGGTTTCAAGAGAATCTTCCAAAGCTGCATGCTCTTTAGAGCCTTAAGAAGAACATCTCAGAAATCTTACTGTGTGGAACTAGGTGGACTTGCTAAGCTGTGAGGTTAGAGAAACAGTTTTGTGCCCTCAATTAGGTACCACTGTCGCAACACTTGAAACAATCACCATACTCATACAGAAGGACTAAAAATCGCCCACTATAACAAGCTCCGCCGTAAATAAGAACTGATCCCTGCCATTATTCATGGAGGATTATTTCATTCGCATGTTCTCGAGGATAATTACAAAAAACTTCTATCTTTACGATGCCGAAATATAAAACTATTACTTTAGGTCTTATTTCCACACAGTTGATTCCAAATCCTAATCAGCAGAACTTTTATTTAATCTTAATTGTAATTTTCATGGCCTCACTAATCATCGTAATGATATGTAGCTAGGTTGGCAACGGGTACTTTAAACTTTAATGAAATACTCCCAAAACAGGTTTTTCGGTACCTATTTGCAAATATGAATGCTAACTATATCTGACAATCTATTGTTAAATTCTAAATTCTAATACATTGTTTATTATCTTTTAAAATTCCCCTGCATTAATAAACATTTGCTATTGTCTGTCTAGACGGCTTGCTCACTATGTCTAAAATACCATGGAAATCATTTACGCCTTTTAATTTTTTTCTGCCAGTGGCAAGACACACTGAAAAAGGTACCTCAGTGGTCTAACCAGCAACACAATACATCTCATATTTACATATCACTGCTGGAGATCCAGAGATAATAGGCCTTTCTGTTGATAGTCTTGAGACAGCCAATAAAAAACAAATGTTAAAAGGCTAATATTCCTCTTTTTCCATAAAGAATAAATTAACCTCATTTATGTGGAATGAGAATGCGTCTAGTTTTTCTCCTGTTTTGTATTGCGTATTAAACTGCAAGTGGAGAAGGGAAAATGAGAAGGGGCATCATTTAAAAGGATATTTATACTTATAAAGTGAAGAAGTGAATCCCGATTTCAGTCGCACAGAGCGACAAGAACTGCACTTTTTGAAAGTTGATTAACCGAGGAGACACCATTTCATTTAAATGTTACCCACTAGCTGCCTCGTCCCCAGTCGCTCGCTCGCGATTATTTTGGGGACATTCTAGTTAATTATTAAGAAAAGGCGAAAGGAGTGATGGGAAGGGGAGAGAAGGCGAAGCGACTGGCAAATCCTGTATCCAAGATGGCGGAAGCATTAATGGCGGATTTCCCGGAACTTCCTAGACCGGTCCACAAGGCTCAGTTAAGTATGAAAAAAATCATCTCTCCGGAGCAAAATTGCCGTCAGAATGTGATATTTTTTGAAGAAAGTGGATTGGGTCAGCATTACAGGGTGATTCATGAGAAATATGCAACTGCGGAGGTAGTCGCGAAGGCACGAACTAAGACGTGGGAAATTTATGGCCGCGAAACGTTACACTTCATCTCCACCATCTCTGAATGGAAATCGAAGGTGAGTATATAAGTTATAACTTATAACGCATCCAAACTTAAATTAGGCGAGCCAAAATTGCGAGAAAATGATGAAAGCGGTGACTGTATTAATACTATTTATCAAAGTTCATGGGGTTGATGCGGTCGGTTTAGCAAGAGACTTTTTTATTCGGAATATTGCCATTGCAGACTGCAGACTGCGGGGGAAGCATTAATAAACACCACTGCGGGACTGCGGTGGCCTCAAGTAAGACATATTTTAGCCGGGTATTGTAATATGTGACCAACTTACCTTCAATCGATAACTCATGAATCATGGGGTTGACGCAGTCGGTTTAGCAAGAGACTTGTTTATTCGGAATATTGCCACTGCAGACTGCAGACTGCGGGGAAAGCATTATTAAACACTACTGCGGGACTGCTGTGGCCTCAAGTAAGACATATTTTAGCCGGGTATTGTAATATGTGACCAACTTACCTTCAATCGATAACTCTCCGATGGAAACTTTTAAATCACTAAGAGTATCATCAAAAAAATCTTCAGTTGATGGAAGGCGTGCTTCGTCTTCAAAAAAATCTGCCTTTCTCGCTGTCTGAACCGATTTACAAATTTTCGAAAGATTTCGCATATATTCGACACAGGATTTCGCAGGCTTTCCCCCTTCCTCTCTCTTCCCTTTCCATCGCTCCCTTCGCTCCCCCAAAATATTCGATCGCGAGCGAGTGGGGACGAAACAGCTTTTTCTTGGGAAAGCCTGTGGAGGAGGCAGACCCACTAGTACTGCGTCAGGTTTACCGGATACTCTGTCGGTGTGTAATGGGGCACTGGGAGAGTAAAGTGTCTTGTCAATGAACACAACATAATCGTAGCTCGTATTTAGATCATCTGGCGCACTGATGACTACTGGCACCACCATGATGAATCTCAACGAATGGACGAAGTGGATATCAACATTATGAATGTAACTTTGATTTATCCAGAAAGAGAATGATTCGTTTTTTTCTCTACTGGAATCACTCGGATCACTGACGGAGCAACTTCTTCGCATAAAAACTATGGTAAAAGATCTCCGTTAACCTTGGTTATGACAATATTCATGCAGACAACAAGATATTGTCATACAACACAGCTTAACGAGCTGCTGTTAACAAGAGAACATGACATGTTGATGTTCCGCCGACATGATAACTGTGACGTGGAGAGACCAAAACATTTTGTAACTCTTTTTTCTTAAGTATTTCTCCCTTGAATCGCAATTGAACAGATCATCTTTTTCAAACAGAATGAAACCATTCTATCCATATCTATTTGCAAAAGCGACGGAAAAAGCTATTTTTGCGGAATTATCTACTGTGTTAGGAATATCTCTGCGCTCGCTGGTTCAACAAACACTTAGGACTGTATCTGCCGTTTTCTTCACTTTATTGCAGTCATACTTTCGCTCATCACAACCGTTCTAATCATTCCCCCTTTATGTTACAGAGTGCCCTAGTTTTATTGCTATCACACGTAAACGCCCTAGATACGTAGATCTGACTGCAAACCTAAACTGTCAAAGATTCATCTTTGTTTCTTTGTGATCTAAGACTTGTGCACGACACTTATTTTCTTAGCGTTGACTGCTTTACCTTCAGAGTCGACATCAAAATGACAGATTATAATCCGATTACAATCTTTAATGACCACTAGTGATTTGTGTCAGGAAACAAAAGACCACAAATGCTATTCGATATGGATGTGGTTGGAATACGCAATACACGTTTCTGCATGCAAGCGCACCAGAATTATGTCGGAAAACTATAGTTCCACGCGCGACACGTGACACGCGTAAGGATCTGGTGACAACTTCTTAGACACGTGCATGATTTAGAAATTATGTAAGCACAACGAAGCGATTAAGTAACAAGCTGGCAACAGTGTAATTGTGGAAATCTTGAAATCTTGTAATACGATCGTAGTTATTGTGAAATGTTAGAGCGACAGTGTGAACAAGAAAAAGAGCGAACAACGATTGTAAGCGAACGTGTGTTAAGATTGTGAGCGAACAGAAGGAAACAAAGAACGTTATCCAGTCCTCAGATTGTGAGTGGAAATAATTCGAACAAATTACAAGAAAACGTGCGTGAACCTTATCTAAAAAACATACTGCAGGAAAGGATACTTCAGCTTGTCACGACAGCTGTTCCTCCAGGCATAGGGTAAAATAGGGACTGGACTGGACTATTTTTTGGACCATTGTTTTAGACCATTGAGTTTGGACCATTTTTTTGGACCATTTTATAAGGGGGAAGCACACCATTAGTACTCAGGGAGGGGTGGGTGCAGTCTATAAGTATTAAGGGAGGGGTGGGAGGCAGACTGTTACCACTCGGGGAAGGGCGGGAGGTGGTTGTAATTGTCACTACTTGTTAATGTAGCTTTAACTCGATTGTACAAATTGTTTTAATCGGTCTTAAACCGGTTGCTATAATGATGGAATACGAGTGTTTTGATTTACTGCCATTCGGTCCTAATGTTCAGGTTTAGATCTCCTCGAATTATTGCTTTGCCTCGATAAAATACAAGCAGGCGAAGCCTTTCAACATTTTTTTACCGCTTTTTCTCAAGGCAGTGATTGATATCGCCGAGGGACTTGAATTTTTGCATTCAAGGAATGTGGTACACAGTGAATGTCTATTTCGGTAGCCTTATATGGTTTGTCCCGCGCTCAACGTTGGACGTCTGCGCGTGAACTAATGTTCTCTTCGAAATGTGAAAAAAAATTTTTTCGAGGTTTGCGTTTTCGAGGTCTGCGGTCTGCGTTTTCGAGGTCTGTGTTTTCGAGACACCCGAGAGACGGTTGTTTTGTACGACTGTACCAACAATGATCTTTTATAGTAAACGTATAAACGTTAAAATTGCGATAGCGCTTGTGAATTCTGTATGCGGTTAAGTCAAGGGCTAAGGACCGGAAATTCCGTGATCTCGTCTGATAACATCAGTGACAAAGGAAGATGGATAAATCTGGTAATTACATACTGTATACACAAAGGAAAACTGATGGTGCACAAGTCGCCTCAAAAGGCACACGCATAACCTATGCCAGACTAGCAACTCAACAGTGGAGGATCGTAAACGCGATATATTCAATAAAAATTAAAGTCCAGTGTCTACGTGGCAGTTTTACTTTCGCTGACAAAAACATTAAACAAACGCCGCGGCCCAGCGCAACAATTTTGATATACAAAAAGTCAGTCGAAAAACCGATTAAAATAATTTGCACGATCAAGTAAAAGCTCCATAAAGCAGTAGTGTTTACAATTACAAACACCTCCCACCCTCCCTGAGTACTTATTGACCGCACCCAACCCTCCCTGAGTACTAACGGTGTGTTTCCCCCCTTATAAAATGGTCCAAAAAATGGTCCAAAGAAAAGGGTCCAAAAAATGGTCCAAACAAAATGGTCCAAAAATGGTGAAAAAAATAGTCCAGTCCAGTCCAGTCGTCGGTTTTTTTCACGGGAAAAATTTTGTTTGGGTTTATTACCGTGACCACAAAATCCGAGAAAATGAAATCTATGGTTTTTTTTTTCTTCATAAGGGTTTGCACAGTCATGACAGAGAAACATTCGCAAATTAGCACTTTTGCGGGTGGAATGACATAGTGGCAGGTGGTGTACAATTAAAAATTCATAATTAAGGTTATGAATAATTTTACGATGCGAGCGATTCTAAATGAAAAACAGCACAGTCAAATTTTCGTCAAAATCAAAGCTTCTAGACATTTCATGCTGTTTGTTTATTTTGGAACGGTTTTTCACTTAACTCCATTGTATTTTCCATTGTGTGTGGGAAACTTGACTCCCAATTGAAAATGTCTATTCCTCTCAGACTGGTTTTTTTCAAATTTGTTAATTTTAAGTACAAGTTCTGAGAATTAACGGAGAATTTCAGAGACTTATCATGGACATGAAATTAAAATAAATTTTATGTTTATAAAATAGCCGAGAAACCGACCCGTTTTGTTTCGTATTTAGTACGTGCGAAGAAACTATATAAATACTTCATAATTCTTAAGATGGGCGAGTATTGACAGAAACAAGCTGCTATCATGATCTTTGGTCTATAAATCATCCGGCCATGATGTTACAGATTAGTG